AGCATTTCACAAAAGTGGCCTTAAGGTTTTGTGGTGATACTTAAAGGGAGAGGGGGAAAATAATTCTAAATGAAAAACATGTTATCCTTAGAGTCATCCAACCCCAAAGAGGATTGAGATTTTTGTGAGGCCAATCAAATTGGCCTGGTATTTCCTCTTAAAATAACGAAATCCCAAGTTCTTCCTGGGTCTCCCATGCCAGTAAGCTCCCGGTGGGCTGCCCCACTAGCTTGCCAGACCTACCTAGTCATGGCTGAATCCCAGCTCCGGCCACAGCAGAGCCTGGTAGGGAAACTGGAAGGAGAACTGGGAGGAGCAATTGTATAGAGAAGGACATGTTACATTGGAAGTGTCAAGATGACATTGCTATTAGGAGGAGGCGGTGGTTGGCAGACAGTTGGAAATGCACACCTGCCCCTAGCTCAGTAGAAGGCAGAAGAGTTCAGAAGTCTTCAGGCTAGAGACCATAACTAAATCATGACAACGAATGAGCAGTCCTTGGAAGATTACATATACCTAAGGTAAAGAAGAAAGATGAACACCCAAAAAAATCCTTTTTTTTTATTTAAAAAATTAAAAGAAGAAGAAGAAGGGAACCAGAAGAACCTCAGCATTCCCCAAGAGAGGAGTTCCAGGTAACTGGGAGTGGTCATCGAAGTCAGTTGCGACAATGGACAATGGGAGAGAAATCATTGAATTTGACAATTGGGATTGGGACCAGTGAAAAGTTCAGGGAAGAAAAAAGACTGAAATGAGATTGCAGGGGCTTACAGAGTCAGCAAGTGATTAAGGTACGTTCCAGTGAATTTTGGTAATGTGGTAAAGAGAGTGAGAAAGCCATAGTTTGATCTGAAACAACAGCAGGATCAAAAGAAAGCCTTCTCTATCATTTTCCCTTCTTTCTTTTCATGAACATCCTTTCTTCTCTTTCTCCTCCCTCCTTACCTTCTTTCTCCTCCTCCTTCTTCTTGGCGGGGAGAACATACATATTCCCCTCTAAATTAAATATTTGTAGGTTGAGGGGAAGAACCTAGTGGAGAGAAACGAAGTGATGATATAAAGAGGCCATAACTGATAACATAAGGCCGTGGAAGGGGCAAGAGCAGGTGGCCAGAGATCTCAGCTTCAGAGAGAAATGAACTTCTTTCCGTAAGGGAGAACCACTTACATAGAAATGCAGGGATGGAGAGAGAGTGGGCGGTGGGCAATAATGAGATGTACACATCACCGTGCTTGAATCCATCTCAGCATGCTGGGTACTCACTTCTAGTGAGTGAAGGTGGTGAGTCCAGCCTGAGATTGTTTGGTTCTGGCACCTGGTTGGTGCTCGGTAAGTGTTTGTCAGAAGAGGAGGGCTTGGCTGAGAATGATAAGAAATCACCCAGCAATAAATAGAAAGTTGGCTTACCAAGAGTGTGGACTCCATGAACTTAAGTTATCAAGTAGCTTATATAACATTCTCCTGCTAACACAGTCTGGAAACATAAGGGGCAGAAACACATGAGAGAGTCTCTGCAGGGCTGGGAATTGACTAGGTGGTCTGGTGGCAGGGAAAGGGATAGAGAGTTGACTATGATCACGCAAGACGCACATGAAATATGGAGCCAGAAGTGTCAAACCATTGTAGAGATGGCCAACCCAATCAGATCAAAGCCTCCAGTGTCCTGTGAGAATCTCCATGTTAGTCCCATGAAGATGACCTATAAATTCCAAATGTGATCGCTGTCCCACCTCCAGAATGTTTCCTCCATCAGAAACAGTCTTACCTCGATTCCCCTTCATTTGGCTGACTTCTCATCCTTCACACTTCAGTTTGCTCCAACTGTAGCTGAGAAGAGGATCAAGTGATATAATGCAAAACTACTTAGAAGCGTGCCTAACAGGAATGTCTTACTAACACTCAGTAAATGTCAAGGAAAGAAAAAGAGAAAAAAAAAAAAACCCACGCGGGATGATATTAATAAAATCAGTGTTCATCTGTAAGAGATAAGCCCTCCTTGCTTGAGGCATTTGTTGTCCAGAAAGCAGTCAGGAAGCCAGTCCTGGGAAACATCCTAATCTGTGCTTGAGTCACACTCTGTTAATAAGTACAGAGAAAAAGAAATGGTTGTTTATGAATCATAAAAAGTCAGCTTGTGTGTCCCTTTAAGAAACACTGTTGTATGTAAAATATTTTGAGGCAAGCAAAAGAATTTATTGTATATGTTCTATGCGAAAGAAGTGACCTGGAGGCACTGGCAGGGCTCAGCGGGGGGTCTGCTTCCGGGGGGGGGGGGGCGCCTACTTATGATCTCTCTCTGTCAAATAAATAAATAAAGTCTTTAAAAAAAAATGTTTCCTGATAAATTCTTAATCCATTGCTGTCATGCCAATCTTTGAGTATGTTTAAGAAAAGATAGGAAAATAGAAGTCAGTGGATTAAATAAACTATCACTTATTAAGCACCCAGTATTTACTTAACACAATGATAAGCACTGTGTAAAGCAGCTATATGACTTGGTGTAATTTTAATAACACTATGGTAGATATTATTGGATTCATCTTACCTATGGGGCTTAGAGATAGTACCCTAGATCATTTATCTAAAAAATACACAGAGCTAAGAATTTTTTTTTTTTTTTTTTTGTCAGAAAAAGAAAGAGAGAGAGCACAAGCAGGGGAGTGGCAGTCAGAGGCAGAGGGAGAAGCAGGCTTCCCACTGAGCAGGGAGCCTGATGCAGGACTCAACCCCAGGACCCTGGGATCATGACCTGAGCCAAACGCAGATGTTTAACCAACTGAGCCACCCAGGCGTCCCCAGAGCTACGATTTAAAGCCGGGTCAAACTAGGCATTTGACTACTATGCCATGTTTCCTACTGGGAATTAATTATGAAGCCATAGTATTGTGATACTAATTATAAATAATTTTCCAGTTGGAAAAGGTGAAATTTCCTTACATCTATATTATATACTTGAATATTAGTTTAAAAAATTCATCAGATGGTAAGTACATTATATGAATTACATGGAAGTAAATATACTAAGTTTGGCAATGACCGCATACATTAATAATCACATTTTGGTAACTAATGTGTTAAATCAAAAATTTTATGGGTATTTTCTTTTCTTTCTTTCCTTTTTAAAATAAAGTGGCAATAACCCTTAGGAGAAAAGTTAGATATCAGAGGAACATTTGCAAAAACAAACTGAAGGACACTTTAATGGTGGCTATTTGCAATGACATTCATAAGTATTAATTTTTAAAACTTGATATATTTAAATCATAAATGGAGTACACACTCTTCTCCTTGTCAAATGATACAGACATGAATATAAAGCTAATAATGTCCCCTCACTCCTCCATCCTTCCCCTCTGAGTAAACAATTTTGATGTGTCTCTTACTACATATTTTCTATTTTTATATCAAAATATGGAAATATGTAAAGACTATATAAGGATAAGTTACATTCTAATATGTTTCACATTACTCTGCTACTGCATTTTTAAACTTATAAATTATACAGATTTTTCTCTAAGACAATAATTGAAATCTTAGCCAGAGATCCTCAGCCCTTACAGATTAGAATTACTTGAAGAGCTTGAGAGAAAAAAATTGCCAGCACCCCACTCCCAGAGATTCCAGCTTAACTGACCTGGGTGGAGTCTTGGCATCAAGCTCCCCAGTTGACTCTGATGTGTACCTAGTTAGAACCACTGATTTAAGCGATCCAAACAGGCTGCAAATACCAGGTGCCTGCCTGAACGGTTGTGGTATGCATCCTCCCAGAGGCCCTCCACTGAGATTACAGCATCAGTGCTGACTGGGGAGACTCTGGGGGGCTTATCTTAAATTTAAAAGTCTCCTAACTGGCTGTCAGTTACAAAATTTGTTCGATTTTGTAGAAGATTTGTTTAGTCTTAAATCACGTTAGGGACACTCTCATGACTGCAAGAAATGCTACCAAGGCCTGGAATTCAGAGGCCACCTAAATGACAGTCTGCTCAATGAAGTTGGCTGGATTCCCAGAGTTGACTGAACTCGAGATTTGCCCTTGCCTGCTGAAGGAGGTTTCCAGATTCAGCCATCCCAGGAAGCCACACCCAGAACTTGCTTCTTGCCTCTGGGAGACGCACCTTCTCAGCGGGTGCAGGAACTCGTTTGGCCTCTCCAGCCCGGTCTGGGTCTGGGAGAGTTTGCCAGCCTCCCAAGCGGATGCATGAGTCCGCCCTGAAGAGCCCTTCACTGTGAGTGAAACATTTGTATCATCCTTTAGTTTCCTTCATTTTTCGCTACACATCCGAGAAACATTTGAGAAAGTAAGATGTGCAAAAGAGTTGTGGAGGTCTGTTTCAGCGGGATACAACAACTGGCAGCCAGAGATGATTAGGTTTCCATCTGAATTCTTGCCATTATTGGTTCTGTCTTTTCCCAGTTCTCTTTCCTTTCTCAAAGCACTGAGTTGGTCAGAAGTTTTGAGAGACCAAATGGGTTGTTGGAAATTTATTTTGGAGGGAAAAAAATTGCTGAAAGCCCTGAGTTTTCAGCTAACAGACCATGGCAGGTATACGGACAGAGCACATTTCACTGAATGAGGGAGGGAGTGAGGGGGGAAAAGACCAAATCAAAATTGTGGTCTTCTCAATTTCTTTCCCAGTTATAAAACGGTAACATTAAATGTTTAATTTGATCCCTTTAGCCTCCACAAAATAAGTGCCAATCATTTCAAGGTAGTGTAAGTGGCCGGGGTGGAACTATAAAAGCCCCTGACCACCGGGGCATCTCCTGGACAGTCAGAGAGAGAGCAGTGGCGCTCCAGCACCCGCGGAGGAAGCCAGCCTCCTCCAGGCCACGCCCCCTACGTCACGGGAGGCGTGGCGACGGGCGATTGGCAGTTCGCGGAAGCACGGCGGCTCCGGAGCGGTGCCAGGAGGGCAGGAGGAGGCGGTCCTGGTTTGCCTCCGGCTTGGGCCAGGGAGTTTGGGGGCTGTCTTCCGAGAATTGATTTTCTTCCCCCTCGCCGCCCTCCCCCACCCGCCTCCGCAAAAGCAAATGGCTGGCGTAGAAGCGTAACCCGCTGGCACTCTTCGGATTTGTGCCTGGTTTTTCTCTTGCACCTTGAGAGTCGCGACCGTCATGCGGTGATGTGTGCCGAGGGAGGAGGAATTGGTAAGGGTGAGCGAGCCAGCCCCTGGCACTGTCTTCCGTTTCACTTCTCAGCCTACTCCTCGCTCCCTTCCCCTGCTCCTCTCCCGCTTCCCCGGTAACTGCTTTCAGGTTTGGTGTAGGGTCTCAAAGGTAGATTTTAGGGCTGTTGTTGAATTTGAAAAAAAAGAGAGAGAGAGAAACACACCATTTTCAGTCTCTTGATTTTTATTTCAAAAGAGGAATTATTTTATCTGTTCTGAGTGCTGGGATTTGTGAAAAGGCAGATTATGCGCGCGCGTGTACACACTTTTGTCACCTCCTGGTGAAATGGGGCAGTTTAGGGCAATTTTGGCTTTGTCTCAAACGTAACGAAGAGCATGGGGGTTGATGTTTTTTAACCCGGTAAATAAACAGGGTTTGTTCCTTAGGAAGGAAAAGGTGTTTGTGCTGAAGTTTGCTCTGAAATAGGTTTCAAAGGAGTGCCGTAAAAAACCCCGCGTTCTGCCCCGCACACACTAACTTGGCAGATTTAGTTTGGAGCATCCTTCCTCTTACGTTGTAAAACATAGTCATACTTTAGACGTACAGCAGAGAGACATCGGGTTGATTAGTGAAACCCTCCGGTTTGGAACATCGAACCTCTGTGACTTTAACAAGAGTATATTTAAACTACCCTTAATTATAAAGGCATGCGAAGTCAGCTGTTCTACGAGAGTGTTCCCTCAATAAGACCACAAAGTTTCTTCCTGCTTCCTTCCATGCTAGTTCTTGGCAAGGAGAAAACAGTTCTATACCCTGAAAGCAAGCCTCTGACTCTAATCAGCCTGGAGAGATCGATCCACAAGAATTGGGGCTCTTTATCCATCAAAAGATTGCTGTATCAGAAAGCTCCAGAGGAGATAGGAATTTTTATACTGGGCTAGGTCAAATTTCTGTGAAGAGTTCCATCATAAAAACAAAACAAAACAACAACAAAACACTTAGGTTTGTTAAGAGCAGACATGTGAAACATCATCACTGTAACACCGTAAATTCATTCAGTGCCCCAGAGTGAGCCTGCACTCCAGCCTACCCCCAAGAGATAATGTGTGCTCCTTCTGGACTCTTCGCTAGGCTCATTACGAATACGTATTACATACCTACATGGAAATAACTTGTTTTTATCAAAATGAGATCATACTGCATATATTGAAAAACAACTAGGCAACATTCACAGAGTTTTAGGGAGTTTAAAAAATGACACTAACTGTGAATTTAATGCCTGCTAAATTATATTAAGAAATGGAGCATCTAAGCAGTCTAAAACGGGATTTCAGAGGCGCCTGGGTGGCTTCTGCCTCTTCTGCCTTCAGCTGAGGTCCTGATCCCTGGGATCCTGGGATTGAGCCCTGGGTCAGGCTCCTTGCTGAGTTTGGAGTCAGCTTCTCCCTCTCCCTCTGCCCCTCCCACTGCTCCTGTGCGGGTGCATGCGCATGGGCTCTCTCTTTCTCCCTCCCTCTCTCTCTCAAAATCGTTTAAAAAATCCCCCAGATTTCAGGAATGCTTGACCTTTCCATAGCAAGAACCAAATACTTTTCAATACAATTACTTAGTGAATCTAACTAGAAATGGAGTAGGATATTTTTTATTTTGATGTCATTAAAATGAAGGAAATGACTCATTGGTTAGACAAACTTTTTACAATCGGTTTTTAAAATAAGAGGTAAAAAATGTTCGCATATTGAAGGCTTCAGTACGTGATTTAGTCATTGTCTGATCTAGTTAGAAGTAGTCTTTTTAATGAAGGAAAATCAAAGGACATGCTCCCAAAACCCAGGGCATTGGTGAAGATAAATTTAATCTCTTGTCCATGCTTGAAAAAAATGGAGAATCTGTTGATCAACTCTTGGGATAATAACGTGCATGCTGGGTGCTGTCACCATTCCTGGGCCATAGTTGAGCAGCTTTCCTTAAAGCTCCAGAAGAGGGTTGAAGTGAGTGTATTTGCTTGAAGACATTATTCCCTTCCTATTATCTAAGACGGACTTATTACTTCATTTCAGAAATCATCATAGCCATAGAAACAACACTTTTCGTGGAAATATAGCGCTATTAGAGTAGGATGTAATAGTGGTACTAGTTTTGTAGAAGAGTTGTGGCCTCCATGGAATCTTTCTTTATGCTTCTAAGTGAAGGGTATATTCATATAACGATTTGCAGTAATATTGGAAAATGTGTTAAAACCTGTACATCTTTGTAAGCTTTGACTCAATAATCCTGGATCTAGAAATATATACCAAGGTAATCATTTGAATTTTATAGGAAGATTTATGAATGTGTTCATTACAGTGTGTCTGTAATATGAAAAAAAAGAAAAAGAAACACATAATAAAGCCCCCGTTGCAGAGTTCTTAAATTAATGTATTGTATATCTATGTTGATAAAATTCAGTTTCAGAAATAGTTTTGAAAAAATTTCATGATTTTGAAAGATCCTTGCATATTGAGTAAAAAAGCAAAATTTAACACTATTATCTTCAATTTGTAAAATATAATTTTGAAATATCCATTTTTTCAAATGTTAAGTCCTTACTACATGTCAGGCATTTTTTTAATTAACAAGTCTTGGATAACATTGAACAAGATTGTGGTACTTCTGTTTGCCTATAAGTTCCTGTTTGTATCAATGGATATATTCACTGACATATATGAAAAAGAAATTGGATTTTGAGGTGGTAGAGTTATAGCTTTTTAAAAATATTTTTCCTCATATTCCCAAATCTCCTACAACAACGATTATTTTTATAATCACAAAAATGCTGTTTTGAAAAATATTGCCAAGAAATACCAAAACAAATTAAAACTCTAAGGTCTACATTTTATATACTAGTAAACCTTTTCAAAAGATAGGATAAAATACAGTGAGAGATAGACACCCACGGGAAAATTATGCCCAATGAAAAATAAGCATAAATGGGCAAGCACACAAGGGAAAAATGGACTTTTTTAAGGGTGGGAGCAGGGGGATGTTTCTTCCCTGTATTGGAAGAATACTCAGCAAAGCAGTAAGTTACCATATTTTTACATATCGCATTGACAAACATGGAAAGCAAATCAAAATGTGTGGAGTTGTTGGGAAGGCAGACTTTTTCATGACATGGAAAAATGTTTGTGATAGGAGGCACGAAAAGTTACAAAATCTTACTTTTGAAAAAAAAAAGTCCTATAAAGGGGCGCCTGGGTGGCTCAGTGGGTTAAAGCCTCTGCCTTCGGCTCAGGTCATGATCCCAGAGTCCTGGGATCCAGCCCTGCATCAGGCTCTCTGCTCAGCAGGAAGCCTGCTTCCTCCTCTCTGCCTGCCTCTCTGCCTACCTGTGATCTCTCTCTGTCAAATAAATAAATAAAAAATCTTAAAAAAAAAAAAAGTCCTATATATGCACAGGAATTACTTTATTGGTGAAGAATAAACCAAATGTTAATGTTACTTATGTGTGGGTAGCGGGGTTCTGGGTGGTTTCTGTTTTTTCTCATGGTATTAATCTGTAGTTTCTAAAATTTCTACGATATATTTTCGTTATCAGGAAAAACAAGTCACTATCCTAATAAAGCAATTCTTTATAAATAAATATATAAAAATAAATAAATATAAGTAAAGAGCACATAGATGATACTCGTTTTCCTTTCTTTCATAAAGCCTCTGTAGTCTCTGTGTGGGTAATTCCATGTCAGGTATGTTGTCACGGATTATATTAACTGGTGAAAACATTTGGATTATAGGGAAAATCCCAAGATAAAACTTACTCTAGTCACATTCCCTCTTCTGCCCCCAGCCGTTTTCTGAAATAATAAGCAGTGTTGGACTGATGAAAGATTTATTCCTTTTCCTTTCCTGTTGATCCCATCTGCTTGGGGCCCAAGCCACTAGGCTTTAATTAAACACTCCCTAATTTCTTTTTCTAAAATCTACTTGCCCCATTTAAAGCCTTTCTGAATGAGGAAGAGGAGGGTAATACGACTGTTTTTTTCTTTTCTTTTCTTTTCTTTTCTTTTCTTTTCTTTTCTTTTCTTTTCTTTTTTTAAAGATTTTATTTATTCATTTGAGAGAAACACAGAGACAGGGATGGAGAGAGAGAGAGCACAAGCAGGGGGAGCTGCAGAGGGAAAGGGAGAGGCAGACTCCCCACTGAGGCGGGAGCCTGACATGGGGCTCCATCCCAGGATCTGGAGATCATGACCTGAGCCAAAGGCAGATGCTCAACCATCTGAGCCACCCAGGCCCCCTACGACTGTATTTCTGTTAGCAAAACACATTTGTAAAATTTCGGCTCTTTATGTAGGAAGGGTAATAAGAAAATCAGAGTCACTTATGAGAAAGAAGGTGAAAATCAGTTTTAAATTATCCAAAAATGTTGGGGTGCCTGAGTGGCTCAGTCAGTTAAGTGTCTCCCTTTGGCTTAGATCATGATCCCAGAATCCCAGGATGGAGCCCCATATCTCTTTGGCTCTGCTCGGCAGGGAGTCTGCTTCTCCCTCAGCCCCTCATCCCACTTGTGCTCTTTCTCCCCCCGACCTCAGATTTTAAAAAAGTATCCAAAAATATTGTGAACTCTTTTACTTCAAGTTATTGTTCTCATAATTTGCACTATTTAAAAACATTCTCATTTTCCTTAAAGGCTATAACAATACACTGAAAGTTATAGTTAAAAATCTTAATTTATAAATCCTTTCTTCACTGAAGTCTTTCCTAAAGAGGTATTGTCATATGTTTATCTCAAAGATTCTGTCTACTTACCCGTGACGCCCTTCAGCTAACAAAACAACATTTCTGCTTTGCCAGGTTAGAAAAATGCCTGATTCTGGGCTAATACTGTACTTTTAAGTTCCTAAACCAGGGACTGAGAAAAAGTGAAATATTTTCAACAGGGCAATAGAATTTTATTTTACTATTTGTTTGTTTGCTTGTTTATTTTAGAGAGTGAGTGGGGTGGGGGGAGGGAGTTTGGGGGTGGTCAGGGGGGTGTGCAGAGGGAGAGAGACAATCTCCGGCAG